TCCTCCTCCTCCTCCTCCTCCTCCTCCTCCTCCTCCTCCTCCGCCTTCTCGTCCTGCTGTCGTCCTTCTCGTCCTCCTCCTGCGCACCCTCGTGGGATCACACCACGAGCGTTAGGTCGAGCATGTCCTGCTACAAAGGGTTTTTGGACGAAGACTTAAAACAACTGAAAAATGCCCCAAAAGAGTCACAAACATCGTCCCCTGATTATTTCCCCAATCAGTGCTTGCACTGAAGGGGTCCTAGAGGAAGTTGAAAGATTAGTCGGAAAATTCCCGCCGATTTTGGTAGCAGGCTGGACTCCCGGGTTCCCGGTTCCGGGCTCCCGGGTTCCCGGTCATTGGTTCTGGGCCGATTTCGGTGGGTTCTGGGTTCCCCGGGTTCCCGGTCGATCTCCTCAGCGAAACCCATCCACTGATCGGGGTTTTCCTCTGGTGTAATGTTCTACTGTGTTTGATTATTCCTCCTGCAGAGGGACAGGCCCGACTTACCTGAAGGGGAACTGGAACACACAAATAAATACACACAAATAAAAATATCCCCCATATTTTCCCATATCTTCTGGGATTTTTGTCTTCCCCACCACTTCCCATAGTTTTGCATATTTTCCTGGGAGTCGACGAGTAATTGTGTCTGTGTGTTTCTTCTCCTCCTGATTACCACGAGCGGCGTCAAAGGACCTTCTCGTGGCTGTCTTCCAGGCCGCCGCTGCTGGGCGCGGACGGCTCGCCGTGCGGAAGGCTCGCTCGTGAGCGCCGCGGGCGGCACGGCGTGACGGCCCGGCAGGCGTCGGTGAGCGGTGGGCTTCTGCTGGTGGGCTTGTTTTCCACCACCACCACCACCAGAAGTTGGAGGGGGGAAGGAGGTGGAAAACGAGGAGGAGGACGAAGAGGATGAGGAGGAGGAGGAGGAGGAGGAGGAGGAGGAGGAGGAGGACCCCCCCCTCCAACTTATGGTGGTGGTGGTGGAAAACAAGCCCATCATCTGTTGGAGACCTGGAAATTGGCACCAACACCAACACGGGGGGTTGCCTCCACAGGGGGGAGATGACCCTCGACGTCGGTGCTGGTTGTGATATTTCGGCCACCCTGGAAGCCAGAGTGTTGCCACCATCGCCGAGATCGGGATCCTTCTTCCCTCGATGGAAGCACACCGCCGATGTTGGTGTTGGTGTCAACCTCTAGGCCCGCGATTCTGCAGCCGTGGGGAGAGCAGACGGTGCATGGGGAGCTCCCCTACGCGTGCATCCCAGACCCCCGACGTCATGATTTTTTCATTACGTCGACCCCAGAGTTCTCGACCCCTTCCCCAGGACCGGTTTGTCCTCCTGAGTCGTTTTTTGACGCTCCCGAGGCCCGGCGAGGGCCCCCAGAGGCCGAAAATGGCGAAAAACCTCCCGTCATGATTTTTTCATTACTCGAGGGGGTCTGGGATGCACCATCTGGGTGTGGCCGTGCAGGTGGCCGAGGGCACCGAAGGCCGAGAGCCACGGCCCGCACGGCTCGGAGCTGCGCCCCTGGAGGACCTGCTCGAGAGGCCGCGGGGGGCACCGTGCGACAGGCGGCGGTGGACGGGAATGGTCCTGCCCGTGGGCTCGCAAGCACGCTCGGGAGACTCTTCATGGGGGGGATCCATGGGGGGATAGGATCCCAGGGGGGGGATCCCATAGGATCCCCTGGGGATCCCATGGTGGGGCAGGAGGAGATGCCATGGGGGGGGATCCCCTCCTGGGGATCCCATAGGATCCCCCCCCATGGAGAGTCTCCCGACACGCTGCGAGGACACGCTGGGAAGACAGAGCCCGGACCGGGACCAGACCAGACCCGATGGGGTTGTTTTCCACCACCACCGCAAATTGGAGGGGGGCAGGAGGTGGAGGATGACGAGGAGGAGCAAGAGGAAGAGGGGGAGGAGGACCCCCTCCCCCCTCCAACTTATGGTGGTGGTGGTGGTGGTGGTGGACAACAGGCCCATCAAAACCGAGATGAGTCGGGGATCTCTGCGATCTGGCGGCCGCGGGAGCGAGGGGCTCCAAGCGTCGGTCCTCCTGCTCCCGCTCCTCCTTCCTCGTCGAATCCGGCCGTGCGCACAGCAGACTCGAAGCGTCTGCCCTGCGCCGTCTCGTGTATATGCTCGTGCCCACGAGACCACCCCAACCCGACCCGAACCCCCCCCACTGGAAATGGAGGGCAAAGTGGGGCCTTCGGGTTTGGGTTGGGGTGGTTTGGTGGGTGGTGAGGTGAGCTCGTTACGCCTAGGCACAACGAAACAAGCACATACGCACGTTGTAAAGGGGCGGACCTTCTCGAGCCCCGCAGGCGTTTCCGGAATCGTTTCCTCGCCATCGCTCGGATGTCCATTCCCCGTGCACATTGCGAAGAAAGGGCGCGGGCCCAGGGTTCTCTTTTAGGAGCTTCCCCCCGGAATCGACGGGCGGAGGGTCAGCGGAATTATTCTGCGATCAATAACGAGGTCGCGCAAGGCCGGCGGAATTGAATTTTGAGGATGTCCCTAGCGAAAAGCTTAGTTTGCATAATGTGTTGGGGACGCCTCAAACGAAACGCTTGTTTTGTGATATAGATCGTTCCTCTCCTGGGGACCAGAATTCAGAGGATGTCTCAGATGAGATGCTTGTTTTCGCGTGCCCAGGTCTTGAGGATGTCTCGAGCGAGACGCTTCGGATGTCTCGAGCGAAACGCTTGTTTTGCAGAACTCGAGCAGCCTGGGCGCCCCAGGATGTCCAGGTGGTTCTGGGACCGAACACAACGTGATTTACTAAGGAACGTGGCCCTGGGAGCGCGGACGCAGCGTTGTTTACGAAGAACCGTGGCCAAGGCAGAACGGACGCAGCGTAATTTACCTGGGGTCGTGGCCCTGGGAGCGCGGACGCAGCATAATTTACGGTGGATCGTGGCCCTGGGAGCGCGGACGCAGTGTAATCCCAGCAGCCCTCTGGGCGCAGGTGGTCTAGAGCGCTTCCTTTTCCAACCTGTTTCGTTTCCCTGCTCGGGAGGTTTACCCCCCCCCCCTTCCCTGGGTCTGGAAGGAGGGGTGCCCGAGGGGTTAGAGCGTCCAGGATGGCCCAAGATAGCTCCAAGAGGATTTTAGATAGCCCAAGATGGCCTCCAAGATGGGCCAAGATACTTCGAGATTATTCAAGATAGCCTCCGACACGCCACCAAGAGGCCCCAAGACGGTTCCAAGTACCCTCCGAGAGGCCAAAATGAGTTCAGCACCTAAGGAAAACCCCTATGTTTTGCCTTTTCGTTTTTTCGCTTCCGAGGGGCTCTTGAGGCGTCAAGATGGCCCCAATATGGCCCAACATAGCCACAAGAGAGGCCCAAGAACGTCCCCAGGCACGTCCCTTGGCGCATCCCCTGGGACGTTCCGCGGCGCGTCCCCCTGGCATGTCCCCCTGTCAATCAGCTCTGGGGCAGCTACGATGTGCTCAGGCAGCTCGAGCTTAAGATCCAAATCAGTTCGGTCAGGACTCGGATACAAAGGACGACTCGATCCACAGCGCTATAGAACACAATCGCAGCATCGCACGTCGCAATTCAACACGCCGCAGCACAGCACAGCTCGGCACGGTACATCAGGATCGATACACTCTGCAATTGCAATTGCCCGCTGCCCAATCATGATCAAATGTCTTTGGAACGTTGCCACGCCTCGAATTCCTATATTCCTGTCCTGGTTTTTGGGCGCCCGAAATGGATACGGACAAAAAATTGTACAATGCCCAACAACAAATGCTGTCCCAAACCAACAGCGGCCGCTGTTGGGCATGCGGCCTTCTCTCAAATGGACACAGGCCGCGGCGGCGCGGACAGCGAGTCCTGTTCAAAAATGAACAGGAACCCAGTTGGGCATTGTACCCATCCTTTCCGTACCCATTTCGTTCGTGCCGATGGTTCGTGAGACGATCATGCTCAACAGTGCGTCTGGCAGAAGCATGTGGTCTTCAGCATGCGGCTCCTGCTTCACCGCCGCGCGCATCCGTCTCAAACGTTACCAACAGCTACGCCGCGCTGGGTCGACGGCCTAAATGTTAGGTCGGGCCTGTCCCCCTACAGGCGGACTTTGGACGAAAAATTCGCCGGCCCAACGGGCCAGAGGCGTGCTAAGATCTCCGGCAACTGCTCAACAATATTTCTAGTTCGCGCGCGCAGGGCGGGCCCTGGGGGTCCCCGGACGAAAAGTACCCCAGCAAGGTCCCGGCAGACTCCCGGCAGACTCCCGGCAACGTCCCTTTTCGGAGGCCAGGAGGGCTCCAAACGGTCCAAGAAAGGCCCGAGAAGCCCTCCAGACGGTCCAAGAGAGCCAGGAGACGCCGAAATATCACTCTCAAGCGCCTGCGATGGCCTACAGACGGCCCAACAGGCCTTCAAGACGCCCCAAGAGGTCCCTAAGCGGCGCCCCGAGAGGGTTCCCACAAGCAAAAATCGTCCCATTCCCTCGGGAAAACGTGCATTTTGAACATATCCGCCTCTTCGTCATTCACACCTTTCAAGGCGGTCCAAGAGGCCCCCAAGATCACCCCAAGACGGCCCGAGAGACCCTCAAGACCGCTCAAAGACGGCCCAAGAGCGCTCCAAGAAGGCCCAATAAACCCTCAAGAACTCTTTTTCGGAGCCCAGGAGGGTTCCAAATCGGTCCAAGAGGGGCCCAAGAAACCCTCCAGACGGTCCAAGAGAGCCGGGAGACGCCGAAATATCATCCCCAAGCGCCTACGATGGCCTCAAGACGGCCCAACAGGCCTTCAAGACGCCCCAAGAGGTCCCTAAGCGGCGTCCCAAGAGGGCTCCCACAAGCAAAAATCGTTTCATTCCCTTGGGAAAGCGTGCATGTTTAACATATCCGCCTCTTCGTCGCTCACACCTTTCAAGGCGGCCCAAGAGGCCCCAGACGGCCCAAGAGACCCTCAAAACCACTCGAAGACGGCCCAAGAGCGCTCCAAAAAACCCAAGAAACCCTCAAGACGGTCCAAGAGGCCCCAGAACGGCCCCATGATTGAGGTCCACAGGGGCACCCTGAACGGAAATCCCACCAGCCCTCTGGGCGTCGGTGGTTTAGGGCGTTTCCTCTTCCACCCCTCCCTCTTCCCCTTCGGGGAGGGGTTTACCCCTCCCCCTACCCCCTCCCCATTGACCTGGACAGGAGGGGCGGGGAGCGGTCAGAGCGTCCAAGATGGCCCAGGACGGCTCCAGCCCAAGATCGCCTCCAAGATGGCTCAAGATATCGCAAGATGCCTGAAGATGGTTCAGAAGACGCTCCAACACGTTCCAAGACCGCTCCAAGATGGTTCCAAGTGCCCACAATAGCATCATTAGAGTGCCCTCAAAAGGCCGAAATGCTTCAATACCCTAGAAAAACACATGTTTTTGGTGTTCTCACTGTTTCGCTTCCGAAGCCCATCCGAGGCCGCAAGATGGCGCCAATATGTCCCAACTGGGCCCCAACAGGGGCCCAAGAGAGCCTCAAGACTGCCTCAACAGCGTCCAAGAGCGCTCCAAGAGCGATCCAAGAGGGGTCCAGGAAGCGATTTTCGACAGTCTGGAGGGGGAACGCTAATTAAAGCTCTGCTCTTCTTTGATAGATATGATCCAAGATGCCCCCCCCCCCCCAGAGCGCCCCGATGGCGTCTAAAAGGGCCCCAGACGCCCAACAACTTCTCCAAACTAAATTCAATCGAGCGCTCGCGCGGGACGCGAAGCCATCTTGGGCCATCATGGGGCCATCTTGGGGCCATTTTGGGGTTACCCTGGGGGCGAGCCAAGTTGAGGGGCCCTCCTTCGTTGATCGATCTCCTCCTAAATGGTTCCAAGAAGCGTCTTGGACTCTCCTCTTGGGCCTTGCGCGCGGGCGGGCGGAGCGCCGCCCGCCCGCCCGCAAGGCCCAAGAGCCCACCAAACCGTTCGAAGATACCTCCAAGACGCCACCAGGGAGGAGGATGAGGCGGAGGAAGAGGAGGAGGAGGAGGAAGAGGAGGAGGAGAGGGAGGAGGAGAGGAAGAGGAGGAAGAAGGCGGAGGAGAAGGAAGAGGGGGAGAAGAACAGCTGCCGATCATCGGCGCTCTTCGGTCGAGTGCCTGGTGTAGGATGGGCTGGTGGGGATGCGCGAAGCGTCCAGAATTTTGAGCCCCCCGCCCAAACGCGCCCCCGAAAAGGCCCCTACAAGCCCCCAAGTAGCCCCACGAAAACCCCCAAGGGAGCCCCAAGAGGCCCCCAACAGGCCGCAAGAAAGCCCAATAGGCCCCCAAGAGACGCCCAGGAAGCTCCCAGGAGGCCCCCAAGAGGCCAGGCAGACCCCCCCCCCCCCAAGAGACCGCCAAGAGGGCCCACCCGGCGCCATCCACGAGGCCTCCCAAATTTCCCAAGAACCCCCCACGAAACTTGCAAGGGTTCCCAAGACCCCACGAGGCCTCCAAGAGCTCCCAAGAAGCTTCCCATAAGCCTCGAAGGGCTCCCAAGAGGGTCACAAGTACTCCTCCTGAGAAGCTCCTTAATGCTCCCGAAAGAGACTCCCAGAAGCATCCATGAGCTCTCCGAGATGGCCCCTCCCCAGATCCCCAACACTCAGTTTTTCTCGCGTCCCTCACCCCTGGATCCTTCACTGCGTTTTCCTCCAATGTCGATTGGATGAGGATGAGCTTGGGATGGCCCTGGAAATGTGTGCGGGGGGCTCTGGAGGTCAGCGTGAATTCTGAGAGGTTGTCGGTTGCGTGTCTTCTGCTAACACAACCAACAAAATGAATAATGGAAAGACCGCACATGCATCACCGATCCCCAAACGGCCCACATGTGTACGCATTCGGCAACGTGTATGATGTGGGATGTCAAGCGCGACTGGCCCCATCCTCCTCGAAGTGGTCGCCCTCGTCATCCTCCGCCTCCACCTCCTTCTATCCGCCCCTCCCTCCCTCACATCCCTGCCCCACCTCCCTCTCCTCCATTTTCTCCTCTCCCCCTAATATTTCCTCCCAAAGTGGGGTGGGGCGGACCCCGGGCGAACCCTCAGGAACCCTGACAGCATGCAGGAATCCCAACAAAGCTCCGAGGAGGAGGAGGAGGAGGAGGAGGAGGAGGAGGAGGAGGAGCAGGAGGAGGACGAGCAGCAGCAGCAGCAGCAGCAGCAAAACGGCCCACGATACGCCCGAACGGCCCAAGAGAGCCCCAATAGGGCCCCAAGAGAGGGAACACGAATCGACAATTCGAGACTTCCGCCCCAAGCAGCCCCCATGAGGCCCCAAAAGGCCTGAAAGAGACCCCAAGAGGCTTAAACAGAAGCCCCAATAAGCCCCCCGACGGCCCCCAAGAGCCCTCAAAACTGCCTCCGAAGAAACACTCGTAAGGCCTGCCACGACATCTCAACGAACATCCAAGAGGCCTCTGACCTACAACCCAGGCACGGTGGCGGGATGGGCCGAAAACCACTAGATCCGCCGCCCCCTGCTTGCAGGGGTGCACGGCGTGCTGGATGAGCTGTCAGGTTTTGGTTTTGGTTCTTTTTCCAAAAGAACTCCCCAGTGGGTTTCGGCCCGTCCCGCCGGCCACCCGGAAAGGATGCCCAGGAGCTCAATTCCCCAATTTCCTGCCCCAGACGGTTCCAAGATGGCCTCCAAGACGGCCAAGATGGCCCAAGATGGCCTCCAAGATGCCTCCCAGACGGCCAAGATGGCCTCCAAGACGGGTAAGATGGTTCCAAGATGCCTCCAAGACGGCCCAAGATGCCCTCCAAGACGGCCAAGATGGCCCCAAGATGGCCCAAGAGGCCTCCAAGACCTTCTCCAGGAGAGCCCGAAGAGGCCAAAATCATTGGTTTCCCTTAGGTTTTTGAAGATTTTGTTGCGTTGTCTCCTTTTCGGCCTTCCGGCGGCCCAAGAGGCCCCCAAGATCGCCCAAGAGGCCTCCAAGAAGGCCCAAGACGGCCCCAAGAGCGCCCCAATACGGCCCAAGAGGCCTCCAAGACGCCCAACATGGCCTCCAAGACGGCCCTGAAGCGCCCCAAGAGGGCCCCAAGACGGCCCAGAGAGGCCCCCAAGACGGCTCCAGACGGCGTCAGACGGACCAGGAACGCCCTAAGACGGCCAAAGAGACCCCCAGGAAGCCCCCAAAGGCCCCCAAGAGGCCCAAGGAGGCCCCCAAGATGCCTCCAAGAGGCCTCGAAGAGGCCCCCAAGAAGCCCCCAACAGACCCCAAGGGTGCCCCAAGAGACTCCTAACAACCCTCATCCTCCTACTCTATTTCTTCCTCTTCCTCTTCCTGTTCATAATCATTCTCTCCCATGTGTTCCCCCAAAGCTTTCCAAACCGACTCGGGGAACTCATGGTCCGATAGCTTGGCCAAGCTCTAGTCCAACTTTCGGCCACATCGGCGTTTCCAAAAAGGCAGGGGGCGGCGGTGATTCGCCGTAGGCGTCTTCGATAGCCACCTCGGAAGACAGTAAAGGCCGAAGCCCCCACAACAAACTCCAAACAAACTGCTTCATCCCCATGCGTTCTGCCGCAACGCCTCTGGAAAACGACCACGGCCCACCAGCGCCGCCTGGCTCGCGACCGCGCAAGCAAACGCCCGCGATGGAACAATACGGGCCGGCGGAATGAGCGAAGCGATTCAATACATACACACAAATAAACAAATCCCCCACATGTTCCTATATTTTCTGGGTTTCTGTCTTCCCCCCCCCACGCTTCCCATATTTACCATTTTTTCTGGGAATCGGCGGTTAGTTGTGTCTGTGTATTTTTCCCTCCTGAAGACCTCTGGGCGGCTGCGCTAGGGATAAAAAAAGACGCAACGTCCGATGCATCCGGGTGCCCGCCGGGGGCCCCAGGACGAGGGAGGGACTTCAAGGATCTCCTGGGGTCCTGCAGGATCCTGCGCCCAAGTCCGAATCATGCACACCTGGCCCTGCAGGATCCTGCAAGATCCCGCGCTTCGATGGATTTTTGTTTGTCTTGATGTTTGTTTTTATTGAGTTCAGAAGGATATGTTTTTCTCCCCAGAGCAGGAAATAAAGACAAAGTGGCCCAACGCTTCAATAGCCGCAGCAGCGCAGCCTCCTGCGAATTGCACTTAGCCAAGCACCTTGAACATGAAAACGTAGCGGTCCTCATCATACCGGCACTGCACGATTGGGATCCGCAGCGATGCAGCCATCACAGCCTCCTCCTCCTGGCCTTCACCCAGGATCCCATCCCGCTCAACGGTTTGCAGCATGATACCCCAACCTGAAATCAGATTCAAGTGCCAGCGGAAAGAGAACGCCCAACACGAATCCTCGCTTGGCTTACTCCTGAGACTTCCGCATTCACCGTGGCAACGACGCCCCGCTTTCTGTTCCCTGCACCGCTTTTTGTTAAATGAGCTGGGGTAATACAGATAGCCACCAGACTCTTCGTATTTGGGCTTCAGCTTCAAATGTACCTCGTGCGCAGCGGCTGCCTTTGGACCACCTGATCCTTGGGCATAGCTGTCGAATTTCACACTTGCGACAACTCCTGCCCTGCAAATGCCTCGAAGCCCTCGTTCCTGAGAGAGGCCCGCGCAGTCGATTCCAAATCCTTGAAATATACCTTCCCAGATGAATTTCGCATCCTTGAGCTGAAGAAGAGTAAGGGCCTGCTCTGTACCAATGAAACGATGAAAGTGAGCAATGAATGCTGGATGTGCGAAAATACTTGCTGAAAAAAATGTCCGGATGCGGTGGTTGCGCTCGTCGGCCACGAACACGTTGCCCGCGCCGTCCGCCGCCACCCCCGTCGGATAACGGAAGCGGGCCGCCGCGCCCTGCCCGTCCGCGTACCCCATATCGCCGCTGCCCGCCAGTGTGCTCACGGCTCCGCCCGCCGAGATCTTCCGGATGCGGTGGTTGTCCTGTTCGGCCACGAACACGTTGCCCGCGCCGTCCGCCGCCACCGCCGTCGGAGAACGGAAGCGGGCCGCCGCGCCCTGCCCGTCCGCGTACCCCCTATCGCCGCTGCCCGCCAGTGTGCTCACGGCTCCGCCCGCCGAGATCTTCCGGATGCGGTGGTTGTCCTGTTCGGCCACGAACACGTTGCCCGCGCCGTCCGCCGCCACCGCCGTCTGCCGCCGCGTGCCCGTGGTCCGCCCGCCCCGCCGAGATCTTCCGGATGCGGTGGTTGCCCTGGTCGGCCACGAACACGTTGCCCGCGCCGTCCGCCGCCACCCCCGTCGGAGAACGGAAGCGGGCCGCCGCGCCCTGCCCGTCCGCGTACCCCCTATCGCCGCTGCCCGCCAGTGTGCTCACGGCTCCGCCCGCCGAGATCTTCCGGATGCGGTGGTTGCCCCGTCGGCCACGAACACGTTGCCCGCGCCGTTCCGCCACCCCCATCGGATCACAGAAGCGGGCCGCCGCGCCCTGCCCGTCCGCGTACCCCGGGTCGCCGCTGCCCGCCAGTGTGCTCACGGCTCCGCCCGCCGAGATCTTCCGGATGCGGTGGTTGCCCTGGTCGGCCACGAACACGTTGCCCGCGCCGTCCGCCGCCACCCCCGTCGGATAACGGAAGCGGGCCGCCGCGCCCTGCCCGTCCGCGTACCCCGGGTCGCCGCTGCCCGCCAGTGTGCTCACTGTTGTGGCCTCCGCGGTGCGGGGCGGCGCCGACTGCCCCATGCCGTGCCCGCCGTTCGGGTGTCGTGCGGTGGACTCCAACTGCCCCGTGCCGCGCCCGCTGATGCGCCTGGGAGGCTTGAGCCAAAATGGTGCTGCGGCTCCAAAACACGACGTCGGATACATCTGGGTGCCCGCCGGGGGCCTCAGGACAAAGAAGGGATTCAGGGATCTTCTGACCCGGGTCAATCCAGACCCGGGTCAGTCAGGCCTCGCACGATCCTGCAAGATCACGCAACATCCTGCAGGATCCTGCACCCGAGCCCGAGTCAGTGCACCACTGGCCCTGCAGGATCCTGCTAGTTCCGGCGCTCTGACTGACCCCCGTTTGCATTGACCCCGTCCTTACCAACACGTCTGGAGGGGGCGACAGGGACCTGTCATTTTAAAGAAAGGGGGGTGGAGGAGGATGAGGATGAGGAGGAGGAGGAGGAGGAGGAGGAGGAAGATGAGGAGGAGGAGGAGGAGGAGGAGGAAGGGGAGGATAAGGACAAGCAGGAGGAGGAGGAGGAGGAGGAGGAGGAGGAGGAGGAGGAGGAGGAGGAGGAGGATTGAGCTCCGAGGGCTCTGGGCGGCCCTGCGCCCGGCGGGGGTGGCGCAGCGTGGGGCCACCGCCTCCCCCTCCTTTTTGGGGGAAGCTGCAGGCCCTCGCCCCGGGGCACAATGCAACGATTTTTCAAGGGGCCCAGGGATCTACATTCGATACAAGCATAACTCCCAGGACTCGGACCATTTTCGCATCTGTTCTGGATCTTCGCCCTCCCCCCCACTTCCCATAATTCTCGCATATTTCCCAACCCTCCTGCGTTGGGTTCTCGTTTTGAATAGGGCACTGCTCGCGCGAACCTTCCCGCCCTCTCCTGCTGGGGGCTGCGATCTGTGAAACTGTCGCCCCTTTCGAGGCCTGCTGGGGGGCCCAGCACAGTGGGTACCCACGGCGGATTCAAATGGGACCTCGCCATCCCTGGGGGGCTGCGATCTGTGAAACTGTCGCCACTTTCGAGGGCTGCTGGGGGGCCCAGCACAGTGGGCACCCACGGCGGATTCAAATGGGACCTCGCCATCCCTGGGGGGCTGCGATCTGTGAAACTGTCGCCACTTTCGAGGGCTGCTGGGGGGCCCAGCACAGTGGGTACCCACGGCGGATTCAAATGGGACCTCGCCATCCCTGGGGGGCTGCGATCTGTGAAACTGTCGCCCTTTCGAGGCCTGCTGGGGGGCCCAGCACAGTGGGTACCCACGGCGGATTCAAATTGACCTCGCCATCCCTGGGGGGCTGCGATCTGTGAAACTGTCGCCACTTTCGAGGGCTGCTGGGGGGCCCAGCACAGTGGGTACCCACGGCGGATTCAAATGACCTCGATCCCTCGCCATCCCTGGGGGGCTGCGATCTGTGAAACTGTCGCCACTTTCGAGGCCTGCTGGGGGGCCCAGCACAGTGGGTTTCCCGCACGTCTTTCTCCTGCTCTTCGTTCCCGACTCCCCATGTCCTCTTCGAGCCTGTAGTTGTCGCCCCTCGTTCTTGTATGGTTCTCCTGCGCATTATTCCATTGGCGCGTGTCCCAAGTAACTTACATTTCAAACAACGGATCCTGCAATTCGATTGTCCGTGCAAGTTTCGGACAACTCCTCGTTTCCCATGATACAAATGGGTTGGGTACGTCACAGGGTAATTTGCTGGGGTTCGACGATTACTTGTTTCTGTATGGGATTTCTTCCCCTCCTGATATTTCCCAACCCTCCTTAGCTGGGTATTCGTTGTGAATGAAGCACTGCGGTCTCCAGTCCTCCCGCCTATCGCCTCTCGCTTTCCTCTTGTCTTCTCTTGACTTGTGTGTACTTTGTGTGTGTGTGTGTGTGCATCTTGGCTGCGGTACCTCTTGTGCGTGCATCTTGCCAAGGGGCAGCGATCTGTGACACTGTCCCCATTTTCGGGGGATGCTGGTGGGTCCTGCGGAGTGAGGCACCGCGGGGACACCTGAGCGAGGCCTCGCCGTCCCTGGGGGGCTGCGATCTGCGACACTGTCGCCACTTTCGAGGGCTGCTGGTGGGTCCAGCGGAGTGAGGCGCCGCGGGGACCTGAGCGAGACCTCGCCGTCCCTGGGGGGCTGCGATCTGCGATACTGTCGCCACTTTCGAGGGCTGCTGGTGGGTCCTGCGGAGTGAGGCACCGCCGGGGACCTGAGCGAGACCTCGTCGTCCTGGGAGTGGCTGCGATCTGCGACACCGTCGCCACTATCGAGGGCTGCTGGTGTGTCCAGCGGAGTGAGGCACCGCGGGGACCTGAGCGAGGCCTCGCCGTCCCTGGGGGGCTGCGATCTGCCACAATGTCGCCACTTTACCTCGAGAGCCTCGCCGTCCCTGCTGGTGCTGTCCTGCGAAGTGACCTGAGCGAGACGATTAAGCACGGTCCCCCTGTCGAGGGCTACACCTTTCTGAGCGGCGCCGTCCCTGGTGGCGCGAGTGCGAACGGTCGTCGAGGGCTGCTGGTGTGTCCAGCGGCTTGAGGCACCACGAGGACCTGAGCGAGACCTCGCCGTCCCTGGGGGGGCTGCGATCTGCGACGCTGTCGCCACTTTCGAGGGCTGCTGGTGGGTCCTGCGGAGTGAGGCGCTGTCGCCGAAGCCTCGCCGTCCCTGGGGGGCTGCGATCTGCGACACTGTCGCCCTTTCGAAGGCTGCTGGTGGGTCCAACGGAGTGAGGCGCCTCGGGGACCTGAGCGAGACCTCGCCGTCCCTGGGGGGCTGCGATCTGCGATACTGTCGCCACTTTCGAGGGCTGCTGGTGGGTCCTGCGGAGTGAGGCACCGCCGGGGACCTGAGCGAGACCTCGTCGTCCTGGGAGTGGCTGCGATCTGCGACACCGTCGCCACTATCGAGGGCTGCTGGTGTGTCCAGCGGAGTGAGGCACCGCGGGGACCTGAGCGAGGCCTCGCCGTCCCTTGGGGGGGCTGCGATCTGCGACAATGTCGCCACTTTCGAGGGCTGCTGGTGGGTCCTGCGGAGTGAGGCACCGCAGGGACCTGAGCGAGACCTCGCCGTCCCTGGGGGGCTGCGATCTGCGACACGGTCGCCCCTTTCGAGGCTACTGGTGGGTCCTGCGGAGAGAGGCACCGCGGGGACCTGGGCGAGGCCTCGCCGTCCCTGGGGGGGCTGCGATCTGCGACACGATCGCCACTTTCGAGGGCTGCTGGTGTGTCCAGCGGCTTGAGGCACCACGAGGACCTGAGCGAGACCTCGTCGTCCCTGGGGGGGCTGCGATCTGCGACACTGTCGCCACTTTCGAGGGCTGCTGGTGGGTCCAGCGGAGTGAGGCACCGCGGGGACACCTGAGCGAGGCCTCGCCGTCCCTGGGGGGGCTGCGATCTGCGACACTGTCGCCACTTTCGAGGGCTGCTGGTGGGTCCAGCGGAGTGAGGCACCGCCGGGACCTGAGCGAGACCTCGCCGTCCCTGGGGGGCTCTGGAGAGCTGCTGTGAGATACGTTAGGGGCAACGGGCGCATGGCACAGCCAACGGGGGTGATTAGTGCAATAGACCATCTGCCGGGCGATGGCCATAACGCTGCGCATACACGGATCCCGCGGGGGCTCTCAAGAGCTGCTGTGGGATACCTTGGGTGCAACGGGCGCATGGCACAGCTAACGGTGGTGATTTGTTACTACGTAGCCCCTAGATCTTGATCGGGGGCCTCGCAGCCTTCCGATTGCTGCTCGCCAAAGCACATGCGTCCATGTTACGTCATCGCTACCGTTGTAGCAATCCTGATGTACTTATGCCCCGCATTGCGCAAGGGTTGGGTATGTGGCCAGGGTAATTTTTGTGGTGCGTCCCACGCTGTCGAGCCTGCCCCGAAGCACGGGCCTGTCCCCCTACAGGGGGATTTTGGACGAAAAATAAAAATTATCCCGGCAAAGCAACCTAACAGCGATGTGTAGGAGCATATCTGGAACCATTCCCCTTAAGATTCGGATGAGAATCCAGTTGTAGAATTCTGCTGTTCTCGCAGTCGTTGTCGCATTCGCGATGACAGTCGCAGTGGCAACGGCAGTCGCAGTCACAGCCTCAGCCTCAGCCTGCCTCAGCCTCAGCCTCAGCCTGCCTCAGCCTCAGCCTGCCTCAGCCTCAGCCTCTCAGCCTCAGTCTGCCTTCAGCCTCGGCCTCAGCCTCAGCCTGCCTCAGCCTCAGCCTGCATCAGCCTCAGCCTCAGCCTCAGCCTGCCTCAGCATCAGCCTGCCTCAGCCTCAGCCTCAGCCTGCCTCTGCCTCAGCCTCAGCCTGCTTCAGCCTCAGCCTCAGTCTGCCGTCGGCCTCGGCCTCAGCCTCAGCCTGCCTCAGCCTCAGCCTGCATCAGCCTCAGCCTCAGCACGAAGCGACCCAGCTAGAAGGACAAAGCGCTGAATGTACACCGATGTGTTCGACGACTGCGTATGTAATGATGTGACGATATACAGACTGAGCCCTTCGTGAATGTCTACATGTTTTCTGACGCCTACAAACGGCGCTGACGTGTGTGAGAAAATTGCTCGCGCAGCAAAAGCCGGCGAAGCGTGCGGGAGCTCGCATGCTGAGACAGACTACGTCTGCAGACCGCCAGCTGCAGACGAACCTGCAGACAGACTACGTCTGCAGACTACGTCTACGTCTGCAGACGGCATCGAAGGGAAGAGCCTCGGAGCCCTGCAACCTGAGAAACACCCAGAACTCGCATACTGAAAAGGAATGCGTTGCAAACCGCACGCTGCGAACCCTGCAGGCTGAGAAGCACCGCAGGATGTCGCATGCTGAAAAGCACTTGTACTGCAGAGCGCTAGCACTCCATCTCGGGCTCGGACCCCCCCGTCCTGATCCAGAACGTGTCCGGCCACGGCATGAAAATGCCGTTCCAACTCCCGAGGATCAGCTGGCACTCCGGCTCTGGGACACTCCAGTACGTCTTGAGCACCTTGAGCCAGGCCCCATCTCGGGATCCCCACAGCACGCTGTACTTGACCGAGACCGTGCCGAACTCATAACAATTGACCTCCGAAGGACCTGCGAGTGCAGGCTGAGAAACACCACGCGATTGCAGGGCACGGCATTGCGTGTCACATGAGTGCAGGCTGAGAAGCACCACATCTCGTTTGCCAGAGATCACTCCCAGGTTATTTGATCCCGCAACACCAGCCACGGC